TCTCTGTGAGTTCGAGGCCAGCCTGGTCTACAGAGTGAGTTCCAGGACAGCCAGGGCTACACAGAGAAACACTGTCTCAAAACCAACAACAACAACAACAACAAAACTTTTTAAAATATATCTGTCTCGCCTAGCACAAAGTAGATATGAAAAATAAGATTGAAGAGAGAGACTGTGGGCCAGAGTTACAGCAGGACTGGCCTGGCAGACTTAGCTCCTGCATTCTCTCATCTTCTCTCAGACCTCTGCTGTGAGACCTGTGTTTCCCATGGAGACATAAACAACGTCTACTCACCCGTTAGGGAACCAATGACAGAAAAAAGTAAGGATACCACCTGTCTTAGGGGTTTTATTGCTGTGAAGAGACATCACGACCACAGCAACTCTCTCTTCCTCCCCCCTCCCCCCAGACAGGGTTTCTCTGTGTAGCTTTGCGCCTTTCCTGGAACTCACTCTGTAGACCAGGCTGGCCTCGAACTCACAGTGATCCTCCTGCTTCTGCCTCCCAAGTGCTGGGATTAAAAGAGTGCGCCGCCATGCCCGGCTCCACAGCAACTCTTATAAAGAAAACATTTAATTGTCGTGGCTTGCTTATAGTTTCAGAGGTTCAGTCCATTACCATCATGCTGGGGAGCACGGCAGTGTGTGGGCAGAGGTGGTGCTGGTGCTGAGGTGCTACATCTTGCAGGGAACAGGAAGTCGACTGACACACTGGGCAGGATCCTGAGCGTAGGAAACCTCAAATCCCGCCCCCACAGTGACACACTTCCTCCAACAAAGCCACACCTCCTAATAGTGCCACTCCCTATGAGATTATGGGCGTCAGGTACATTCAAACGACCACGCCATGGAGTCCAACTTGGTGAACCAATGGGCTTTATTGGGGTTAGTTACGGGAGTCCTGGTGAGGGGTCACTTACAGCAGCAGAAATGACTCAAAGGCAGCTCATCACTAAAGCCCACCCCAGCATGAGTGACAGCCCGCAGAGCTGGGAACCTGCAGCACCTGGCACAGCCTGCTGGTGGTTCAGGAAGGTGGGGAGTGTCCTTCCCAGGCCCAGTGGGTCTGAGAGTGACTCTCAGGTCCTGAATGCCTATATTCTCCCAGGGAGGAGAGGCCTCACGTAACCGCCAGTTTTGGGGGGTTCCCAATGCCTTTGCTCACTTCCCTAGCTTGCTCAGTCAGGGTTCCCGCAGGATGGAAGGTCTCATCTCCCTGAGAACATCCTATGTTTCACTTCCCTTTGTCCTAAGAGGCCTCCCTCCAGACCGCCTCCCCTTCAGATCTCCCCACTTCTGTCCTGGGGACTCAGAACCAACCGGACAGGATGGACATCATGGAGCTGTCACTCGAAGAACGGCGCTTTTGAGAGATATGGAAGAAGGGGTCTCGAGGTGGGTACAAATGAGGACTGCAGGCCGGGGAAGTGCCGATTGTGTTGGGATTTAAAGAAATATTAATTAATTTATTTATTTTTGGGACAGGGTCTCTCTATGTAGCGGCTGTCCTGGAACTCACAGAGCTCTGCCTGCCTCTGGGGTTAAAGGTGTGCACCACCACTACCCGGCTGTGTTTGCTTTTATTTATTTAGAGACAGGGTCTCACTAGGTAGCCCTGGGTGGTCTGGAACTCTCTATGTCACTGTCCTCTTCTGGGCTACTCAGAACTTACTGAGCTGTGAGGAGGCAGAAACTGGCTACATCCACCTTTTTCTGCATGTTACTTTTGAATGGTTTAAGTTGTTTGTTTGTTTGTTTTTCTGTGTGTACTCAAATTTACTTAATTAGAGGTTTGTTTTTATCTTTCAGTTTTTTACTTATGTGTCTGAGTATATGCCACATATGTGGGTGTCTGCGGATCTGTCATGCATTTATCTAAATTGTTCTATTATCAATAAAAACTCGAGAGTCAGATATTGGACTAAAAACCTGATAGATCAAGAAAGCGGCGGAGGAATGAACAGCAGACCCTCTCGCCATGCTTCCCAGATGGGAGAGCCTGTGAATCTTTCTAAGCCCCTCGCTCCTCCTTCCTGGTCCTCCAAAATCTCTATGGCTAATTGCTGTCAGCTAGTCGCTGACTCTGGCCCCTGATTCAAGTTTAACTTTATTAAGACTCTCAGAGTGTCACAGTGTGATCAAATATCCCTGCAACAGACCTGAGCAAAGGGAGCGGAGTCCCCTGGACCTGGAGTTATGGGGTTGTGAGCTGCTAGATGTGGGTGGTGGGAACTGAACTCTGGTCCTCTTCAAGAACAGTAAGTGCTCTTAACAGCTGAGCCATTTCTTTATCCTTAATTTTTAAAATTTATTTCCCCCTCCTCCTCCTCCTCTTCGACTGGGTCTCACGTAGCCCAGGCTGGCCTGAGACTCACCATGCAGCATGCTGCAGACTGGTTATGAATTAGACACCAGCTTGGGCTACAAAGTGAGACCACGTCTCAGAAACCCAAATCAGCCATACCTGAAGAGCCCCGCACAAAATGACTGATGCCATTCACAAGAGCACCATGGGTTTCTGGGGGCCTGCCATGACCCCCCCTTGTCTGGGTGCATGGACAATCTTGGGGTTTTTTGGTTTGTTTGTTTGGAAAATAAGCAAAATTAAGCTGCATGTGCAGAAGAAATATTTTGTGTTCTGAGCAGCTTACAGGGCAAAGCAATACACTCTCTGCAGTCCCTGGATTTCAGCATCCTGCATCCCTGTGTCCATCCCAGCAGGAAACTAGAGGTGTCACATGTCACAAGGAAGCCAATCAGCTGGCTGAGCTGGTCAACTCCTAGGGACAGAAATTTTGAGAACTCAAAGAGATCCACCTGCCTCTGCCTGCGGAGTGCCACTGCGACCCAGCTTTGGGGTCCCACTTGTAAAACTGGTCACAGGTCTTCCCTACCTGGGAGTAAGTGACACCAACTCCACTTCTTGAACTGGGCCAGTCACGTGACTTGTTCCAACCAATTGAATGGTGAGTGCTTATGTTCTGAGCTTGGGCCGCCAGAGGCCTTGTAACCTGTTGGGGTTTGCCTCTCTGAATGTGAGAGATGACACCAAGGAGTGCCAGCTGTCCTCACTGATGTCACCCCCTCCAAACAGCCACTAGGCCACAGATGCTGCCACAAGCCCACCTGCTGAGCCCAAACTACAACCACAAGCTACAGAATTGTGATCAGGACAAATGGTTGCTGTTCCAATCTGCTAAATTCCAGGGGCGATTTGTTACCCTGCAGATGCTGACCAACTCATCCTTGGATTCTGGGAAAGCTCCCTGGCTTCTTGAAGGGACTCTGGCCAGCTCCGGCATGGCAAAGATGGCTCTGGCGGGCCTTGCCCCTCCCCCATTCCTAAAGCTAGCCACCAAGATCCGTTCCCTTATTTGGCCACTTCCTCTTCCTGAGGCTGACCTCCTTCAGGTCAAGTGTCGAAGTCCAGCAATAAAAAGCCCCCTTTGGCTGACCTAATTAACATGCCCGATTAAAATTAAACACTTTATCCTAACACAGGGTTTTCCCTTTTACCTTTATAAACTGCCATTTTCCTATGGGTCACATCTGTCTCCTCCCTATCCAGAGGTGCTCCTTGGTCCTTGTGGGGCAGATGTCCCTCCCCCAATCCCTGTCCCTTCTCTCTTCTCCCTCTTCCTCTAGCTCCTGTCTCCTGTCTTTGTCTCTTATTTCCTGCCCTCTGTCCCTCTGGCGCAAATATATCTCCTTTGTGCTGAGAACTTGCTCTTAGGGTCCTGAGCTGGGGGTACCAATTCTTTCACTTCTTATATTAAATTCTTCCTCCTATCACGCCCCTGATCCACCCTCCCAACCCTTCCCCCCCAGTTAAGCCAGGGAGTTTCTTTTCCTCCTCCTCCTCCTCCTCCTTCTTCTTCTTCTTCTTTTTTTTTGGTTTTTCGAAACAGGGTTTCTCTGTGTAGTTTTGGTGCCTGTCCTGGATCTCACTCTGTAGCCCAGGTTGGCCTTGAACTCACAGAGATCTGCCTGCCTGGGCCTCCCGAGTGCTGGGACAGGACAGGAACATCTTGGGGACACATGGCCGGCGGCAAAGTGGGAGGGAGGAGGTCCTGGAGGAGCTCAGTGCGGGCAGTCGTCCTGTCTGAGATTCCTCTCCTGGGATTTCCAGGTCAGCTGCATGTTCCTTATTTCTGTAAGATTAGAAGGGAGGTGGGAAGGGGAAGGAGGGAGGTGGAGGAGAGAGGGAAAGAAGGAGATAGAGGAGGGGAAAGAAGGAGAGAGGGAGGGGTGAAGAGAGAGAGAGCGCATCACTGCTGTGACTCCTCCAAATTCACACCCGGAAGCCCTAACCCTTATTTTACATTTTCAGGTGCGTGCAAAGGAGAGTGGCGTGCCTGTGTGCCTGCGTGCTCTGGCTCGTGTGTGCGTGCGTGCTCTGGTTTTGTCTCCTTCCACTGTGCGGCTCCTGAGATCGAACTCAGAGCCGCTGGGTTGGCGCAGGTGACTTTACCAAGACTGTTCAGTTGTCCTCACCTCTGCCCCACACTCCCCATGCCCCTTCCAGACTTCCCATCGCTGGCACTCATTCCTGCTCATCACGTCTGCATCCCTAACAGCACACAAGAGGGATGGGGTGTGGTGCTCCCAAAGCCGGGGACCTCTCTTAAGGGCTGTTCAGACTTCTGTAGTTCCGTGGGCTGGGTGCAGCTATGACCATTCCCACTTAGCAGATGGGCACCCTGAGCCCCAAGGGAACTCCACTTCTCCAAAGCTTCCTAAACTGAGATGTGAGCCACAGCAGCCTGGCACTCAGAGCCGCTCTGGTCACTTTGGGAACTAATGAGTCAGAGGGGCAACTCTGGGATCAGTCCTCCGCGCCCACCCCACCCCCACACCCCCCAGCTGTCCAGTCATTGGGATTTTTGTTAGAATTTGAATTGTAGCTCCCTGGCTGTGTGACTTAGAACTAATATCTCGACTTCTCTGTTTCTCATCTATAAAACTGGAAATAGAAGTGAGCTCGTTCGTTCTCCTGGTAGAGGGATGCAGGTCGAGCTCACGTGGTCTGGAGTGGATGTTGTCAGGTGGACCAGTGGGAGGGGCAGAACTACCTTCAGCGCCAGCACTAGGTAGAAGCAGACAGCTCCGAGCAGCACTAGACCTCCCAGGGTGGCCGCGACGAGGAGGCCTATGGCAGATCCTCCAGACAGGGACAGGAAGTCGTCAGGCTTCATGGGGTAAGCAGCCGTGGGAGCCGCAACTGTGGGAGCCTCGGTGGCTTCTGGGAATCAAGAGGAGGGGCAAGACTGAAGGATCCACACTAGCTAGCTCCTCCACACCCCTCTCCTTGTCATTCTATCTTCGAAGTGCTTCAGTGGACCCTGCTCCTCTCTTGTTCGGTATCCTGCTGTGGCTCCCCAGGGTCTCGGATCTCTCACTGTCCAGTCGTCGGGTCAATTTATGACCCAGGCTCCTCTGCACACGGTGTTCTCCGCACACCCTTCTCTGCCTCCTGTTTCCAAGTGCATCATCCTCTCCCTCCGCCACCCCCACCTCTCCTCTTCTGTCCCTTTCCTTACCAGAGCCTGCATAATCCTTATGTGTGTTAGAAGCAGCTCCGATTGCCCCTCCTCCAGGAGGCCCTCCCTGACTCCCAGGCTGAGTCCTGCTCCGCAGTTCCCAAGACCGACCCCCCTCTTCCCAGTCCTGTCTGTTGTGGTCTCCGGGGTCGGGGTGGGGGTGGTCTGTAGTGTCCCCCATAGCTCCCAGTCTGGAGTGCTTTTGGTCACCAGGGTGTCCCCAGCTTGGGCTGAGCACACCTTAGCTGCTCAGTAAAGATTTCCTGCGTGGCTGAGTGAGTGTAGAGGCTGAAGGGCAACCGGTGCCAGCTACACTTCAGAGGTTTTGTCTTTGGGGCCTGGGGAGATGGCTCACCAGGTAAATACTGTCATACAAGCATGAAGACCCAAGTTCGGATCCCCAGAACTCCTGTAAAAAGCTAAGCGCTTGTCTGTAACTCCAGTGCCGAGGTTGGGGAGAGGGTAGAGACAGGCAGGAGGGCCCCTTGAAGCTCATTGGCCAGCTGGTCTAGCTGAATCGATGAACCCCCAAGTTCAGGGACACACCCTGTCTCCAGAAAGTAAAGTTGGGTTTGGGCTGTATACTGGTTGGCTGCTGGTGTTTCAGTGGATGGTAGAACATGTCGGCTCTAATTGAACGCAGTGGGGTATAAAGAAGAGAGGGAGACTTGTCGGGGATTGGAGGAGGGCGTGCGGGGTGGATAGGATCAAAATGCATTGCCCACAGCGTGAAATTCTCAAAGAATAAACTTTTTTTCTTTTTATATTTTTTGAGACAGGGTTTCTCTGTGTAGCCCTGGCTGTCCTCCTGGAACTCGCTCTGTAAACCAGGCTGGTCTCGAACTCAGAGATCCGCCTGCCTCTGCCTCCCAAGTGCTGGGATTAAAGGTGTGTGTCGTGTCCCCCCCCCCCCCGCCCCCGCCTCCTGACTCTTGTATAATATTAAAAGGACCAGCCTTAATATTATACTTCCCAGAGGCTCAGGAGAGAAACTACAAGTGGCGAGAATTATTTTCGCGAAGTGAATCTAAGCACACTGAGCTACTTTATTCCTCTGAGATAACATCCTATCTACTCAGCTTTAGTTCTGTTCTCGTGCCCAGCTCCTTTCTTGCCTGATTTCTCTCTACCTTTATCTACTGTTCCCTCTAAGTTCTATCTTAATTCTCTCATCTTAATTCTGCCTCATCTAGGTCCTTCTCATCTCGTTCTTACCCAGGTAGTACTTCCCCATCTGACTCTTCCTCATCTTCCATCTCACGCACATGTTCTCTCTGGTCAGAATCCTCCTTATCAGTTCTCCGTCCTCAAGTTCTCCACTCCTCTCTTCCTCTCCTAATACCTCTAAGTCCTCTCAACTCTCTGAGGTGTTCAGTTATAAACCCAAGCAATAGCAATCCTCCCCCTCCAGGCAGGTCACCAGGCTTGAATTCCTACAGGGTCATAAAGGCAGGTAAGAATTTTCCTCAGGCACTGACTGTCAGGCTTTCTTTTACAACCCAAAAATGGAGTGGTTAAAGAGGAGGTCAACTGAGAGATAGTGACCAGTTAGTAGATCAAGAAGGGATCTGTGTGCTCAGCCTACATTCCTGGAAGTGGTGAGGTAAGACATTAGGAGTCTATTAGGAAGGCTGGAAGGAAGGAGGGTCTCACCCTAAATTGCACAAGAAATAAAGCTATCCTCCTGACCTAGGAGACAGGTGTTGTTTCGTTTGTCCTTGGATGCTTGATAGGTATTTTAGATAAATACACTGTTAGGAGTTCTTGGAAGCGCACATAGCATTACGAGAAAATCACTGTAGGAATATATATACATATATATATATATGCTAAAATATCACCAAGACTTCTTAAGCCATGGCTTGACCTTTGGAGAAGTCCTTGACTTTTCCAAGTAGTAGTTTTTGTGATAGTAGCTGAATTCCATTAGATTAGGAATGTTAGATCACATTCCTAAAGCTAGCCTCCCCCCCCCCCCAAGGTCTAGTCCCTTATTCAGCCACTTCCTCCTCCTGAGGCTGACTGCTAAGGTCCAGCTGTCAAAGTATTGAAGTCCAGCAATCAAAAGCCCCCTTTGGCTGCCCTAATTAACATGCCCAATTAAAATTTGAACACCTCATCTTAACAGGAGGATTTCCCCTTTTACCTTTATAAACCGCCATTCTCCTATGGGTCATGTCTGTCTCCTCTCTATCCAGAGGCGACCGGTCCTACATCCCTCTAGGACAAATAAGACCTCCTCCCTCCCCTGTTCCCTTCCCCTTCTCCCTCTTCCTCTGTCTCCTGTCTCTGTCTCTTATTCCCTGCCCTTTTTCCGTGTGGGGCAAATACATCTCCCGTGTGCTGAGAACTTGGTCTTGGGGGTCCTGAGCTGATCCTTGAAGAACACCCCCCTACTAAGCCGCCTGCGGACTGTGCCATGTGCTGCAGGTTCCCAGCTCTGTGAGCGGTCATCATGCTGGGGTGGGCTTTGGTGATGAGCTGTCTTGGAGTCAATTCTGCTCCTGTAAGTAATTCCTGACCCACATACCTGTAAGTCACCTCAATAAAACTCATCAGTTCACCCAGCTGGACTTCTGTGGTATCCTTACTTTGGTCTGTTGTTAGTTCCCTATTTGGGGTGAGTGGACATTTGTTCACGTCGCCGCAGGAATAGTGTCTGAGAGGTGAAGGGGTTGCAGCTGGGGTAGAATTCGTCTCTGAGCCACAGTCTGTCATATGCAAAACGGGCTAATGTGGCGCTGGGGAGACGGCCCAGTGGATAAAGTGTGCGGATCCTCAGGGCTCACACATAAATGTCAGGCAGATGGTCTGCTTCTAATTCCAGCATCTGGGAGGTGAGGCGCGTGTGGGGAGTAGGGGGTGTTGCTGAGAGGGGCATCCTAGAGCAAGCTGGCTAGCTTGGGAGCTAGTATGGGAGCCTAGGGTTCAGCTGAGAAACCCTGCCCCGGTGAATAAGGTGGGGAGCCAGTCTCGGGCCTTCATGTGTACAGGGATACATATACAAACATTCACACAGATTTACATGAGAGAAGTGGGGGAGGGGCGGGGGGGGGAGCTAATAGGCCACAGGCCCCTGAGTGGAAGGAAAGACGGAATGACAGTTTGGCTAGAAAGATCTAGGGTGGCTCTGGGAAGTCAGCCGCACACCCGTGTGGGTACAGAGATCTGGGGACACTTACGACTCAGTGAGACAGTCACGGGCTCAGAGACCAGCTCTTTGTCTGAGTTCTTGGCTATGCACAGGTACGTGCCCAGTTGCTCTGGGGACAGTCTCCGGATAAATAGTTTCTCCCCAGTTCCGCATGGCTTCCCATTCAAGGTCCAGCTCAGCACAGGCTCTGGGTTCATTCTTGTCGCCCACTCCAGGATCACAGAGTAGTTAAGGTCACTGTAGATCACACCCTTCGAAGCCACCGGGAAGGTCACCAGTGGGATCAGGCTGGGGTTGTCTGTGAGGACAGAGAGCAAGGCTTCCAGGAACTTTCCGGAGACATCGATCTCTCTTCTGCCTTCCCCAGTAGCATGCACACACACACACACACACACACACACACACACACACACACACACATGCATTCATTCACCCTCTCAGTCATTCACACATTCATACCTACTGGGGCTCACCAGCTCCTGTGTCCCATTGCTGTGGGGCATCACAGTGACAGTAGTCACAGAATTAGCTATACTATTACTAATAATACTAGGTTACTGAGCAGTCAGAGTTAGGCACAATTATTTATTTATTTTTATGTGCATCAGTGTTTTGGCTGCATGTATGTCTGTGTGCAGGTGTCAGATCCCTCAGAATTGGAGTTACAGACAGTTGTGAGCTGCCGTGTGGGTGCTGGGAGTTGAACCCAGGTCCTTTGGAAGGGCAGCTAGTGACCTTAACCACTGAACCACCTCTCCAGCCCTATGGCACAATTATTTTAAGCTTTAAGCTAGTTCTCTCATAACTGAGGCATTTGATTTTTTGTTTTTATCTATCTATCTATCTATCTATCTATCTATCTATCTATCTATCTATCTATCTATCATCTCTCTATCTCTCTATCTATCTATCCACCTGAGACCCAGTCTCACTATGTAGCCCGGGCTGTCCTGGAACCTGCTCTGTAGCCCAGGCTGGCTTCAAATGCAGAGGTCCACCTGCCTCTGCCTCCCAGGTGTTGACATTAAAGGCCTGTGCCACCACGACCAGCATAACTGAGTATTTTTTTTTTAAGATTTCTTTATTAAATTCTTAAAAACTTGTTTTTATTTTATGTGTGGGTATGTGTGAGGGTGTGGGGGCTGCATACAGAGTCAGAGGACAGTTTGCAGGAGCTGGTTCTCTTTTTCCACCATGTGATTGGTGGAAGTTCACTTCAGCTCATCAGGCTTGGTGACAAGTGCTTTTTACCCTGCGAGCCACGTCACTGGGGGACTCTGGGCAGGGGCTCCACCACTGAGCCACACCCCCAGCTCCTCACTGGAGGATTCTAGGCAGGGGCTCTACCACTGAGCCACACCCCAGCTCCTCACTGGGGGATTCTAGGCAGGGGCTCCACCACTGAGCCACACTCCCAGCCCCTCACTGGGGGATTCTAGGCAGGGGCTCCACCACTGAGCCACACCCCCAGCCCCTCACTGGGGGATTCTAGGCAGGGGCTCCACCACTGAGCCACACCCCCAGCCCCTCACTGAGGGATTCTAGGCAGGGGCTCCACCACTGAGCCACACCCCCAGCCCCTCACTGGGGGATTCTAGGCAGGGGCTCCACCACTGAGCCACACCCCAGCCCCTCACTGGGGGATTCTAGGCAGGGGCTCTACCACTGAGCCACACCCCAGCCCCTCACTGGGGGATTCTAGGCAGGGGCTCTACCACTGAGCCACACCCCCAGCCCCTCACTGGAGGATTCTAGGCAGGGGCTCTACCACTGAGCCACACCCCCAGCCCCTCACTGGGGATTCTAGGCAGGGGCTCAACTGCTAAATGTTGCTTCTGTTCTTTGAGACAAGAGTCTCACTAAGTCAGTTGTTCAGGATGGTGATCCTCCTGCCTCAGCCTCTTTTGTAGCTGGGACTACAGGCCCAAGCCACCAGGTCTGACTGTGTTAGGGGCTTTATAAGAAGAGGAAGGAAGACTGGCGCTCACACACTCGTCCTATTTGCCAAGTGAAACCATCTGTCCAGTTGTGGCAGACACGGGCCCCTCGCCTTGCGCTAGCCCTTGGGCCTCCCTGCCTCTAGAACCTTTTGCCAAACTAAATGTTTTGAAGTAGAGGCTGTGTGTATGGGACGGAATCTCAGGTATCCCAGACTGGCCTCAGACTCGCTATGTTGTCCTGAACTGCTGATCATCCTGCTTTGGCCCCCTAAGTGCTGAGATTTGCGCTATGGTACCCCACGTTCTGATTAGTGTTTTCTTTTGTCAACTTGACCCAAGTTGCTAAAGCTATCCGGAAAGAGGGAACCTCAATTGACAGTTGAGAACATGTCTTGGTCCATCGGCAAGTCGGTGGGGTCATTTTCTTTTTTTTGCTCTTTGAGACAGTATTTTTCTGTGTAACAGTCTTAGCTGTCTGGAACTCACTCTGTAGACCAGGCTGGCCTTGAACTCACAGAGATCCACCTGCCTCTGCCTCCTGAGAGCTGGGATTAAAGGTGAGCGCCACTACTGCCCAGCTCACTGGGAGCAGTGATGTTCCTGAGAGGGTGGTCCTGAGTGACATAAGAAAGCAGAGTGAGGGTCTGGCGAGTCGGCTCAGCGAAGAAGAACACTGGCTGCTTCTCCAGAGGACCTGGGTTCAAATCCCAGCACCCACATGGCGGCTCACAACTGTCTGTTAACTCCAGTTACAGAGGATCCTACACCCTCACACAGACATACATGCAAGCAAAACATGAATGCACATAAATAAATTATAAAAAAAGAAAGCAGAGTGAACATGGAGAGCAATCCAGTAAGCATTTCTCCTCCATGGCCTCTGCTTCAGTTCCTGCCCCCAGGTTCCTGCCTCGACTCCCCTTCGTGATGGACCTTTGCCCGGAAGCCTAAAATATACCTTCTCCATATTTTATCACAGCAATAGAAACCCTATCTACAGCACCTGATTTTAAACTTCCATTCTTTATAAATTATCCAGTCTTGGGAGTCTGTGATAGCAAGTTTCTCTTGCAGTCTTTTTTTTTTTTTTTTTTTTTGGTTTTTTCGAGACAGGGTTTCTCTGTGTAGCTTTGCGCCTTTCCTGGGACTCACTTGGTAGTCCAGGCTGGCCTCGAACTCACAGAGATCCTCCTGGCTCTGCCTCCCGAGTGCTGGGATTAAAGGCGTGCGCCACCACCGCCCGGCTTTCTCTTGCAGTCTTACACGGGGTGACTAATGGCTGTACCAGAGATGCCCTGTTGGCCCTGCGGGGTGTTGCGAGTCTGATTTCTGAGGACTGGGTCCCTCTATGAGGGCCTCACTCACACTTGACTTGAATGTGCTCTGTTGAACTCCCGTGGGGCTTGCTGGTGTCCAGAACCTCAGTGTCTTGAGTTGCCACATTCCTGATGACCAAGCTGCCCTCTGTGTGCGGTACGACGTCTTGGCTAGTGTGAGGAAGTCCCAGAAGGCCCTTGGGAGAAATCATGGCTGGTGGCCGGTCTTCCGGCTCTTGGGACCAAGAAGTGCTGAGAACTCCATCAAGGGTTCTGGGGACGGGCAGGTAGGTGCCAGCTCCTTCCATCTGGGCCAGCTTGGAGGCTGCTGAGCAGGTGCAGGAGGTGAGCAGGGTACCTTGAAAGAGGCAGGGAGGCAGAGGGGACAGCAAGGAACAAGTGAGACCACAGGTGACATGATAACAAAGTGTCACCTGCCCACAAGTGAACCAACGGTGCAGATGCTGGAGAAAGTGGTGGAGGTTTGGAACACCTGGTCCCTACCAGGTGGTGTCGTTTGGGAGAGGTAATGGAACCTAGAGGACAGATCTAGGTTCATACACACACACACACACACACACACACACACACACACACACACACACACACACCCATATAGTTTTTCGAGACAGGGTCTCTTTGTGTAACAGCTCTGGCTGTCCAGAAACTCACTCTGTAGACCAAGCTGGCGTCGAACTCACAGAGATCTGCCTGCCTCTACCTCCCAAGTGCTGGGATTAAAGGTGTGTGCTACCACTGCCTGGCTGAGGACAGCAGTTCTAATCCCGTGGGTCTCAACCCTCTGGGAGTCGATTGACCCTTTCACAGGGGTCACATATCAGATAATCTGCATTTGAGATATTTACATATCATGATTCATAACAGTATCAAAATCACAATTATGAAGCAGCAACAAAAGTAATTTTATGGATGGGGGTCACCACAACATGAGGAACTGTATTAAAAGGTTGCAGCATTAGGAAGGCTGAGAACCACTGGTCTAGGAGAGAGACTCTTGCTGGAGGAAGTACATCACTGTGGGCGGGCCTTGAGTGTTTATAACCCAGCCCTGCTTCCTGTTCTCTCTCCCCTCTTCCTGTGGCTGATTGAAAATGTGACCAACCAGCTTCCTGATGGTGTGGCCATGATTCCCAACTGGATTCTATCCCTCTGCAATCAAACCAAAATTAACCCTTTTCTTTCATAACCTGCTTGTCAGGGTAATTTTAACAACAGCAATAGGAAAGTAGTTAATACAAGAGATAGAGACGCCTGGAGTGATGGTAAAAGCTTGCAGTCCCATTGGTGGGTAAAGATGGGAGGGTTGGGAGTTCAAAGCCAACCACATACTGGAGGCTCATCAAGGCCAGAAGAGGGTATCAGATACCCTAGATTTGGGTTTGAAGGTGTTAGGTGAAAGGACCAAGCAGATGCCTTAACAGGCTGCTCAGTCTTGTCTCAGAGATCAGGCCTCAATTTCAGTTTCCTGAGACTGAGCAAGCAGTCTCTGGGAGGGCTGTGAACAAAAGACATAGTCCTTGCAGTAGCTCCCTTTCTGCACGTACTCTGACTGATCAAAGTTCAGCCAGATGTTTACTGTCTGGGGCCCCTCACCAACTTAGGCCAGCCAGCCCCCATGGCGGCTCAAGGACAAAGCCTGGGACTTGTGCTGGACTGCCCCCAAAGTGATAATTGTAACCACCAACCAGTAAATTCAAAGGTTACATACCCTCACCCAATTAAAAGAGAACAGAGATAAAAATAAACCAATCCGAGTTGCACCCATGCAAACTCCCCTAACCCCCCTGAAGGGCTTGTGGTTTTTGCCTTTAAATAGCCAGCCACACAAAGAAAGAGGAGCTCCTCCCTGCCTCACTGTATTGGGTGTAGGAATGAGTCCCCTGTCTAGACTTGTATCTGCAGAATAAACAATCCTCAAATCACAGAACAGAGACATTATTAATTATGAATGCTCGGCCTTGACTTAGTCTTGTTTTTAGCTAGGTTTTTTTTTTTCTTTAACTTAACATAACCCATTCCTGTTAATCTATGTGCTGCCCTGAGGCTTGTTTACCTCATCTACTTACTGTCCATCCTGCTTTCCTGCTTCCTCAGTGTCTGTCTGTCTCCTGCCTCTCTCTCTCTCCTTCTCTCTCTCTCTCCTCTCTCTCTCTCTCTCTCCTTCTCTCTCTCTCTCTCTCTCTCTCTCTCTCTCTCTCTCTCTCTCTCTCTCTTAGATTTCTCCTCCTACTTATTCTCTCTGCCCACCAGCCCCACCTATTCCTCTCCTGCCTAGCTATTGGCATTCAGGTTTTTATTAAACCAATCAGGTGCCTCTAGGCAGGCAAGGTGAAACACCAACTCATCTTCATATAGTTAAACAGCCGCAGCATAAACAAATGCAACACACCTTTACATCGTTAAACAATTATTCTGAAACACATAGTTCTTTTTTTTTTTTTTTTTTTCCAAGACAGGGTTTCTCTGTGTAGCTTTGGTGCCTGTCCTGGATCTCACTCTGTAGACCAGGCTGGCCTTGAACTCACAGAGATTGCCTGGCTGGGATTAAAGGCCTGTGCCACCGCTGACCAGTGTGACACATAGTTCTATTCCACAACAGCCTCGGGCAGTGCAAATATCCAGAAAAGATCACAACCTGGATTGCAGGAGGATTTCTGATGGGAGATAAGAGCCGGCATTCCTCAGGAGCTTGTGAAGCCAGTTCCCACCTGCCAGATGGAGTCATTTCCCTCACATCCCGCCGCCGAAGGAGCATATGACTGACTACCTGTGGCGCTTATCAGCTTGTCAAAGTGCACTGGCCTCCGGGCTTCCTCAGTATCCCACGTGCCTGTTACACAGTTCAAGGCCCCAGGCCAGGCTCCTGCCTCTTCCCTTCCCCAGAGACCTCACAGCCGGCTGTTCTCTGCTCTCCCCACACTTACACTCCATTCCCTCTATTCTCTCTCTTACCCCTTCACTTCCTCTCTGAGCCCCTAATCCTCTCTCTGCTCTATTCTCTACCATTTGCTAACTTGCTATCTCCACTGTTCTCTCCCACGCTCCTGCTTCTCTAGCCCCGGTCATGTTCAGTCCACTTCTTGTTCTGTCTGCTCTCTGCTCTCTCCCTCCGCCTTTCATGTCTATATTGAAAACCTTAACCATGTCATGGAGCAGTTATGTCAATTTCTTTACTGAGCCCCCCTCACATACAACAGGTTATTATGGGTCACCTAGTGTGGGTGCTGGGAACTGAACTCAGGTCCTCTGGAAGAGCAGCCAGTGCTGTTGATTACCTGATGTCCTGAGTTCGATCCCTGGAACCCACAGAAAAAGGTGGAAGAAGAGAACTGGGTCCACACAGTTGTTCTGTGACCTCTGTATGCACACTACAGCACACCACTCACGAGTGCATGCTAATAACATAGGTGTTTTTGTGTTGGGTAAGAATTCCAGAATCTAATCTATAACTTGGCTCTGGAATTCTGTCTCTCGTCCAGTACAGTTTAATTTTTTTCTCTTAATTTTGCATTATTTAAGAGGCGTTTGTGCCTGCATGTATGTCTGTTTTTACCTCAGAGGCCAGACCCTCAAGGGACCATTTGTGAGCCTCCACAGGGGTGTTGGGAACTGAACCTAGGTCCTTTGCAAGTGCAAAGTGTTCTTAACTGCTGAGCTATCTCTTCAGTCCCCACTCCATTTTTGAGATTTTTGTTTGTTTGTTTGTTTTGAGCAGGGGTTTCTCTGTGTAGCCTCTGGCTGCTCTAGAATCCCGCTCTATAGACCATGCTGGACTTCAATTCTCAGAAATCTGCTTGCCTCAGCCTCCTGAGTGCTGGGATTAAAGGTGTGGGTCACCACCTTTAATATGTCAAGAATCCATATTCCCTACCGAGACCTAACACAAAAGAGTTACCCACCCCCACCCCCAATTCCTCCAGCCCCTCAGGGCTCAGAGACAGAGGCCTGTGGCTGTGTGGAGGTGACGGAAGTGGCTGGGCTGAGGCATCTTTGGTCAAGTCTTGAAATGGGGCTGGGGTATGGGCCTGGTGGGAGACCTTGGGAAGCATCTCTCAGAGTTTGAGAGACGAGGGGCCCTAGACTTGTGTGAAGTCCCCCGGAGTGCAGTGGTGGGGAGCAGGTATGCCTGTGTAGGAGGGGCCTTGGGAAATGACCCACGCTGCCAGCATTTGGAAAGACAGGAGCAGCAGAGGGTTGTGGAGGGGGCCGGAGGCTTTCCTGGGTTAGGCCCAGTGGAGGAAAGAGCTCCTTCTGATCTAGACAGAGAGACTCAGGGGTGGTGGCAGACGGTGCTGAACTTCCTCCAGAGAGCCAGAAAGATCCATGAGCACACACACTGTCTCCCCCAGTAACTCAGTCAGCAGGTGCAAAGGCTTGCCCAGGACTCTTTGTCTCTCCTTCCCTCTGCTCATGCCCAGAGGGGCTCAGACCACAGCTCTGCAGTGGAGGAGGGACCCCCAGAGAGGAAAGGAGAGCTGTTAGAGGGTCTTCAGTCCCCCCCCCCCCCCAGCAGAGCAAGCCCTGGCCTGGGGACCAGGAAAGCTTTACCCTGGATGGAGTTCAGGGATTTATTTATTCTTATTTGTGTTTTGCTGGTTTTTGAGACAGAGTCTTACGGAGTAGCCCTGGCTGGCCCAGAACTTGCCGTCTAGACCAGGCTGGCCTCCAGCTTTCTGTGGTCCCCCTGCCTTTGCCTGCCATGAGCTGGGATTGCTACCAAGCCCACCTCAGGGCTTTAAAATGGACAGGACTGGACATTTTTGTGGTTCGTTTTTGAGATCAGGTCTCATGACAGAGCCCATACTGGATCCAAACTTGTGATCCTCCTGCCTCAACCTCCCAAGGGTTGGGATGACAGGTTTGGGCCACAACACCTGTCTCAGAACTTCTGACCTGGGGGAGGAAGCAGTTTGTTTGTTTAGAGAGGCCCTCTCTATGGTCTCCGTCATCCAGACCGCTACACTTCAAAGCCCTTTTCTCCTTTCCAAGCTGTGAGACCTGGAGGAGCCATGTAACCATTCTGGGGTGCAGTGTGTCCAGTCTCGGCTTCCACCCCCATCCCTGCCCCCAACTCTGTGAAGTGAGGACTGAACCGTCACTGTCTGAAAAAATGTAGGTCTGACTGGCAGGTAGACATGTTTAGTCCCAGTGGCCACGTACTATGATGGCTGATACCCACCTGTTGCTGTGATTATTTTATTAGTGTGCATGATGGTGGGGGGTGGGGTGGTACATGCACATGCCACAGTGTGTCAGAGGACACTTGTGTGAGTCAGTTCTCTCCTCCATCTTTTCTTTTCTTTTTTTCTTTTTGGTTTTTCAAGACAGGGTTTCTCTGGGTAACCACCCTGGCTGTCCTAGAACTCTCTCTGTACATCAGATTGGCCTCAAACTCATAGAGATCCACCTGCCTCTGCCTCCCGAGTGCCACCACCACCCAACCCTCTCCTCCTTCTTTACATGGGTTTTGAGGATCAGACTCAGGTGGTTAGGCTTTCATAACCATTGAGCTACCTCACTGCCCACCTCCACCCCTATTTTTTTTTTTTTTTTTGAGACAAGTTCTCATGTAGCCCAGGCTGGTCTTGAACTTGCATTGTAACCAGGGATGACTTGAACTCCAGATCCTCTTGCCTCCTCCCTAATGCTGGGATTACTGTGTGCACCACCATACCTGGTTTTTCTGGTGTGGGGCCCCATGCAAGCTGGGGGAGCATTCCAGCAACTGGGACCGGTCCTCAGCACCTGGTACAGGAGTGCTCAGTTATCAGTTTGAGACAAGGTCTTGCTACATAGCCCTGACTAGTGTGGCCTTCACCAAGTAGCATAGGTTGGCCTCAAATTCACAGCAGTCCTCCTGCCTCAGCCTCCCAGGTTCGGAGATAGTGGGCACATACCACCATCCTGGACTGTGACCATTTTAATTAGTGTTTATCCCTGGGCATGGTGGTCCTCTGCCAGAAAGGGGCTGGGCTCTTGAATTCTAGTCCTGATCTTCGCCAGTCCGGAGAGATCGGCAGGTGACCACCCCTCTCCGATTTTCTAATTCTTCTTTGTAAAAAGAACTAGACCGGCCTTTGAGGCAGGAAGGTGTTATGCCCAGATTATGACCCCCCCAAAGAATCCACCGTAGACCTTTGGATGTCCAGAATGCAACAGCAAGGTTTATTCTGCAGATACAAGTCTAGACAGGGACTCATTCCTACACCCAATACAGTGAGGCAGGGAGGAGTGTCTCTTTCTTGGGGAAGTTAGTTTTTATAGGCAAAACCCATAAAATTTCTTAGAGGGGAGGGGGTTAGTACGGGTCCATCCTTGATTGGTCAAGTTTTTCCCGGGCCTGGACTTCTTTTTTTATCTTATCTGTTTGCCCTGTCAGGAGTTTTACAACTCATCTCAGGGGTCTGGTCTTGTTATCTCTGGAGAGGGGCATCTCGTGGTTAATTGGTTACCATCAGACATCCTGACTCTGTCCTTTTGTTCCTGGGGCTGGCGCCATCATTTCTGGGGACTTGAAACTGGCCTGGCCTAGATCACAGCCCCAAAGCCGCCACTGAAGACTTTTAGGTACAGAATGCAAAAGTAAGGTGTTTTCTAAGTTTACAAGTCTCCAGGGAGGCTCTTCCAAACCTTTCACTCACAGCAGGGAGGTTGGAAGGAGCCTCCCTTTTCTTTGTGAGGCTAGTTCTTAAAGGCACAGACCATATAATTTATTTTAACCCACCTCCCTTTTTAGTCTTTTGGTCGAATATCCTGTTTTCCAAAGTCCTTGTAGCAGATACAGCCACCTGGGGAAAAGGGGTCTAAGTTCTTATCTACACTTAGGAATCCTGGTTTAAGCTTCTCTTTGTCTGTAGGGGATAGAGTGGGGGGTTTTACTGAGGTATCACAGAAGGGTGTGACTGAGGAGAGGCTGGTAAGGAGGCAGGCTGTGTAGTTGGCACACACCTGGGATCCCAGGGTGGGAGGAGGGGAAGGCCTGAAGCAGGGGGATCTCAGGAAGTTCCCAGCCGGGTGGGGCTAGAGTGGGATTCTGTTTTAAGAAGGTCCCTTCTCCACAGCAAAGAGATAGTTGGCAAATTTGCGGGTCCCCGGTTTCGTAACCCGGAGGTCTGTGTGTCAGGCTATGTGGGCTCTCTGAGAGTGTCCCTTCTTTGTCCCCAGCCCGAGGGGAAGCCACTGTCTCTCACGCACCTGTTAGTAGAAGTGTCTTCCAGGCAGGAACGAGGCCACGGCCTGTGTTCGGAAGACAGTTCATGTCGCCTTCTGTCCCTGGACCTCTCAGGGAGTTCTGGGTGGAACCTTAAGGACACGCAGGGTCTTTTATATGGCGCCAGCCACACCCCAATTCCACTGGCCAGGCCTCTGCCCCTGGCCCCCACCACCTATTCAAGTCCCTTCTCAGCCTCTTCTTCCTCCAGCACCCTGTTAGTGGTGGTGGGAAGAGGGCAGGCTAACCCAGGTCTCCAGGATGGAGGACTCTAGCCCCGCCCACCTCCGCAACCCGCGCAGAGTGAACGGTGCAGAAGGTGTGGCCCTATATCTAGCCCTGTCCCCTCACCCCCTGCAGAGGGACAGACGGCCAAAGGTCAGCAAAATAGGTGGCAGCTGGCAGCCCCGCCTCTCTGCTTCACTGCCCAGTTCTTGGTCTGTCAGCTCTGAGGTCGGCACTTCTCCTCTGAAAAAGGAAGATGCTGTTAGTTAGAGTGTACCAGAGTCACAGAGGCGTGGTACCAGGGCCAGAACATCCCAGGCACTTGTCAGGTCCTTAAATTGGGGCTCTTAAAATTGTGCTGTTTTGTTTGTTTGGGTTTCATTTGCTTGTTTTTAGTGGCGTGTGTGTGTGTGTGTGTGTGTGTGTGTGTGTGTCTGGGTTGAAGTCAGAGTGTGTTTATTTTTTAAATTATATATATATATAAAATTTTATTTTACAATACCATTCAGTTCTACATATCAGCCATGGGTTCCCC